CCAGGCCAGGATCTGCCAAAAATGCAAAATAAGAGTGTTTAGAAGTAAGAAATACTCAATTTATATGTCTTACTATGCCATTCCCAAGGAAATGAAATGTAACACTTAGGACTTTAGCAGAGATGTAATTTAATAAGGTTTTACTTGAAGAGGGATTTTTGTACTGGGTTTTAGTAGAAGGCATTAACCTTGTTTAATGACTTCATACTGTTTTTACAAACATGGGCCTTGAGCCATGGTGAGGAGCATTTTTAATGCTGAAAACTAAATGAACACCTAATGTGCTGTGCTCTGACTGCCTTTGGGAGCCCCCAGGTTTCTGCGTGTGCTCTGAAGTACAGCTTGGCGCAGGTTATGCTTTTGAGAGGGTGTGCAGTGGGATGCATGAGAGCAGGGTGGGTTTTCTCTGTGTTTTAGAGGGTTTTTTTTGTAACTGTGGATTATTGCAAGCATAGCACGGGGTTTATCTGAGAAAATTGCAAATACTCAAACTGGAAGAAAATTTAAGGGGAAAAAAAAGAATTAAGGAAACACTTAAAATACCTCAGGTTGTATTTAAGTGGCCAAACTACCCTATGCACAGAGGCCAAGGGAAATCTTGTTCACTCTGTCCCCTGCTTTTTATTTCTGAGAGTAAACCCCTTCCCTGAAGTTGCTTAGATCCCAGCGCTGGATCCTTTTGTAGCAGCCATGGAGGTGGTTTTGTAGCATGATCATGGAGGTGTTTTTTTTTTTTTAGTGTGCAAATTCCATGTTGGAGAGACACTTTTTTCCTGCCAAACTGAAAGCCTGCTTTGAACCCCTTCTCGAGGCAGAGCTCTGTGGCCTTCATTTATTCTCTGACTTTGTTTTTCTCACGCAGATTGGAAGCAGCCATTCTCTGTCCTCCCGAGCGAAGTTTCTTCCCAATGCCATGGAGCAGATAGCCAAATGAGTGAGATTTACCCAGGCGGCGTTGCTGATCTCAGTTTTGATCTGAAGGGGAATGACTACGAGTCCCACGCCTTGAACTTGCTGGCTGATCTGGCTCTGGGTTCTTGTATTCCTTCGTTTATCCCCAGGGACAGCGGGATGATCGCTGGGTCCTGCAGCCCTTCCAGCGACTGTGCAAAGGAGCAGCAGAGTCATCGCAAGCACAAATCCTTGCGTGTTGCTTCCGACCACGAATACCACAGGGTAGACAAGCTTGCAAAGGGAGCCACCTCTCCTAGCAAAGCATCACCGAACCAGAAGCTTCCTTCTGCTGAAAAAATAGACTTAAATGACTCTATTCCCAGGGAGAAAAGCCCTGGGATTTTCAGCAAGAACAGTGCGAGCCCCAGCCCTGCAAAACCCCATGCGTTGCCTCCACGAGAGACTCAAGAAGCTGCCGAGGTGAACAAGCACTCCTTCATCTCCGCCGAGCACTCATACGCCTCACAGATGCCTGAGCACTCAAAGAAACACATGTATCCCAGAGGTGCCCCCTACCCCGGGCCAGCACCCTCCAGAAACGGG